TTTGAGTTTTATTTATTAGCAAGAAATAAAACTCAACGACTAATTATTATTTCTTGAGTTTTATTTTTTTTAGCTCAAAACATAATCATTATTCATTGAGTAGTAAAATATAACTCAAAAAGCTATCATTATATTGTGAGTATTTCGATATTACTTGAATACACTTAAATCATGGTGGATATGCATAGAATATCCTTTAAGATGAATATTGGCACATGTCCGCCAGCCTCAAAGTTTCCGCAAGTGAATGATTTTTTTATTTAAAAAATAAGAAATAATCATTATTTGCAGTCCCTGGTTTATTTTGTGTGCGGGCGCTGCCTCTGTCTGTGCCGCGAGTCTGCAGTGTGTGGGACTAGGGAAGGGCGGGGAGCTAACGAAGCGTGTTGGTGTGAGAAGTATTGTAGATGTAGATGACAGATGAAGAAAAAATTTGAAATTTGACAAATAGCCGCTAAGGTGCAGATGTAGTACTGAGTGCCGGGTATAAAAGTTGTGACGCGTAAGAAGCGTCTCACACGTCCCTTCTCGTTATGATGAATATTTTTGTCAAATGCTTCAATTTTGTTGCCAGTATCCTTTTTCAAATGTGGTCAAATTGATTGTTGTACCTGTTTTTTGTACACACACACAGTTGGCGGTAACGCGCCCACTCTCACCAAGTCCACGGTGGACGCAGTCGGCGAGGTATGCGAGATAGCAAAGCAATCTATAAACGGAGCCCGATGGATGTATGGGAGTAAAGGGTACTGCTTAATAAATTGCACTAGGAAATATTTTTACTTACAATGTTTTTGCATAGTGGAACTCCCTCCTAAAAATGGATATGCCTGTGTGGACCACGTTGGTCGCAGTGGTAAAATGCAAAGCAGAAGCAGACAGAATCTGCAATGACGCAGTAGAGCGAGCCAAAACATGGCTAACCGGGAGGGGCCTAGCATAAGCAGCAGAAAGGTAGTTAAGAAGGCCACAATCAGAGCAACTTCAGAATTACCACCAGCCCAAGTCTGAAGTACCTGGTGGTCATGATTGACCACATTAGCTTCAAGAACTACATGGTGTATGCAAGCAGCAAGGCTAGCAACACAGCGGCTGCCCTCAGCAGAATAATGGCAAACACGAGAGGACCAAAGCAGCCGAAGCGGAACCTCCTAGCGAGTGTCGTTAGCTCGACGCTCATATATGCGGCACCGATATGGGCTGATGCATTGAGGCAATAAACATATGCCCGTGAAGGCAACGCTGTCCACAGCCTGTGCGCCCTGGGAGTGTGCTGTCGCTTTAGAACAATATCCCAAGACGCCGCACTAGTGGTAACCGGACTGATCCCACCTGCTGGCAACAGAAGCCAGATTCCCCCCTCCGAAGTAATATCTCGATACAGTTCCTCCGGGACCCGGGTTCGGTGTGTTGGATTGGTTTTAGTGCGGTTAAAGTGCCACACTTCGACTCTTGCGCTGAGTCGGCGTTGAAGGGACGTGTTAAACGCTTCTTACGCGTCACAACTTTTATACCCGGCACTCAGTACTACATCTGCACCTCAGCGGTGTTTTGTCAAATTTAACATTTTTTCTTCGTCTGTCATCTATGTATATCTACAACACTTCTCACGCCAACACGCTCCTTGAGCTTCCCAGAACACAACACAAAACAAAAACGAGAAGGGACGTGTTAAACGCTTCTTACGCGTCACAACTTTTATACCCGGCACTCAGTACTACATCTGCACCTCAGCGGTGTTTTGTCAAATTTAAAATTTTTTCTTCGTCTGTCATCTATGTATATCTACAACACTTCTCACGCCAAAACGCTCCTTTAGCTCGCCCCCTTTCCCACACACCGCAGAGTCCCTGCAGATGCAGAGGAAGAGGAACGCGAGAGGCAGAGGCGGCACACTGCAGAATGAGAGTGTGTGAGTGAGAAAATGTGAAAACAAAACATATATAAGCTGCGGGACGGGGTGGGTTAAAAGTCGTCTGAGGCTGCGGCAGGGGGAGGGCAGAGGCAGAGGCCGAGTGAAGCAGAAGCAGACTGTGAATGAGAGAATGTAAAAAGAACAACAAAAGCTCGGGACAGGGTGGGTTTAGCCACTGGAAATTAATTTCTTCATTGTGGCTACAATAATGATCCAATCGGATCCAAATTTGACGATATGATAGATATGGCCATTCCCTACGGAGTGGCGTTTTTAGTTTTATCTTTATCTTTTATCTTCAAAATTGTAGGTTTGTGAGGTTTTCGCCCTTTTGCGGGGGCGGAAGGGGGTGGGGCTCATTTTTTAAATACACTGGTTTCAGTGTGAGCATACAGCAGTCTGGCGCCAAAATTTGGTGGCTCCAGCTCTTATAGTCTCTGAGAACTAGCCGACAAACAAGACGGACGGACGGACGGACAGACAGACATAGCTCTATCGACTCGGCTGTTGATGCTGATCAAGAATATATATACCTTATGGGGTCGGAAACGCAAATACAATTTACCCTATTTACTCTTCGAGTACCGGATATAAAAACAATAAGGGACTGGTACACTGACTGAGTACCGCGTATAAAAGTTGTGACGCGTAAGAAGCGTCTCGCACGTCCCTTCTCGTTTTTGTAAGGCTTTTAAGTTATTTAAGGAACTTTAGTGAAAGTGGTCAAATTAGGCGAAGCGTCTCGCACGTCCCTTCTCGTTTTTGTAAGGCTTTTAAATTATTTAAGGAAGTTTAGTGAAAGTGGTCAAATTAGGCGAATAAAATAATAGCACCACTTTCAAAAATTGAATTTAAAATTTTTGGTGTACTGGCGTTCCTTGGACGTCTTAAGCATGATCGAGATCCCTTTCCAGTAAATAAAACCCCTTTTTACTCAACTGACATTACAATTTTCCTCCATTATAAGGATGTCCAATTGACTCCCTTGCAAACATCAGGTGCTTAGTAATATGTCCGGCGTTTAAAAGTGTGAGTTTTTTTTTTGGCAGAAGGATTTTAGGCTATGCTGTTTAAGATACATCAAAACTTTCTAGCCCGTCGCTTTTATTTTAAGCTCTTTTTTTAAGCTTGATAGCAGGCTTGAAGGGAACCTTCTTGCTCTCACGAATCAGTCTTTTGACACTAAAAGGGGTCATAGATTGTTTTCATCCACTTGTTTCACACTTTTCTTCATAGTTTAAGGCCTTTTTTAATCATTTTATTGAAACTTCCTATTAATTGACCAAATTCTCTGAAAATGTATACGTCAAATATCAATTTTTTCCTAAGGTCGCGCTTCTTGGCATTTCAGAGCTTTCCAAGTCTTGTTGTAATGATTATTATTAGCTTTTATGTTAGAAACAATGAAATATTAGTCAAAACTAATAAATTCGTGGTTTGGCTTATTTTTGTTTTTTGCACATTCTCTCATTTACACTCTGCTTCGCGCAGACACGTCTCTTCCTCTGCAGCGTCTCTGCCGAGCCTCTGCCGTGTTTTTGAAGTGTGTGGCTCTAGGAGAGGGTGGCGAGCTAAAGGAGCGTGTTGGCGAGAGTTGTGTTGTTGATGCTAGTTTGTGGTCGTTTTAAGTTTTCTTTTATCTTCAAAACTGTAGGTTTGGTAGGTTTCGCCCTTTTGCGGAGGAAGAATTTTTGAAATACACTGGTTTCAGTGTAAGTATACAGCAGTCAGGAGCCAAAGTTTGGTTGCTCTAGCTCTTATAGTCTCTGAGATCTAGCCGACAAACAAGACGGACAGACAGACATGGCTCTATCGACTCGTCTATTGATGCTGATCAAAAATATATATACTTTATGGGGTCGGAAACGTTTCCTTCTGTGCGTTACACAGAACCGTTATTCACACAAATACAATATACCCTATTTACTCTTCGAGTACCGGGTATAATAAAAACTAAAAGCTATTTCGTAGGGAATGCCCATATCTATGATATCACCAAATTGGGATCCGATTGGATCATTATTATGGCCATAGTGAAGAAATTAATTTGCAGTATCTAAACCCACCCCGTCCCGCAGTTTATATTTGTTTTTTTCACATTCTCTCATTCACACTCTGCTTCTGCTGTGTACGGCCACTGCATCTGCCGCGAGTCTGCAGTGTGTGGGTCTAGGGAAGGGGATCGAGCTAAAGGAGCGTGTTGGTGTGAGAAGTGTTGTTGATGTAAATGACAGATGAAGAAAAAATGTAAAATTTGACAAAATAACCGCTAAGGTGCAGATGTAGTACTGAGTGCCGGGTATAAAAGTTGAGACGCGTAAGAAGCGTCGCACACGTCCATTCTCGTTAGTTTTCTTTTATATTCAAAATTGTAGATTTGGGAGGTTTTCTCCCTTTTGCGGGGGCGGAAGGGGGCGTGGCTCATTTTTGAAATACACTTGTAACAGTGTGAGCATACAGAAATCTGGATGCAAAATTTGGTGGCCTTAGGCGCTCATCAGGACGGACAGACGGAGGGACGGACAGATAGGCTAGCTCAATCGACTGTTGATGCTGATCAAGAATATATATACTTTATGGGGTCCATACTTTGTGCACAAATACAATATACCCTCTATTTACTCATCGAGTACCGGGTATAAAAATATAAGGACAGAAATTTGAAGAGGTAATACTTTTTTGTTAACTGGGAATACTAAACTATATGAACAATTTAAAATTTAAAAAAATCGCAATAGTATTTGCCTTTTTTAGGTCAAGAAAAAAATGTGTTGTAGTGGTGCTGCTATTTTTTTCGATGTTTTTTTAAGTCAAAATTGTGTAAAAATTACCGCACAGAAATCAACATTTTTGCTTTTAAAAGCTTAATATTTTTCGAACGGTAAGCTTAAACCACAAAGGTTTTGGGGATACATTGTATATATACATGTAAAATATACCTTTGGAGTACCGGGAATAAAAATGCAGCCTCAAGACTGGGAGCCATTTCTTTGTCATTTGAAGTGCAATTAAAAGTGGAAGTTAAGAGAAAACTGTGGTTTCTCTCTTCCTCACAAACCAGAAAGGGCATTTTGATTTCAATTCATTTTGCTGAAACTAGCAAGCATTTATTAATATACAAAAAGGAGAATTGTACAAAAGAACTTAAAGAACATATTGTTGTCTCTACTTAACTACTCGTACGAATACGATTTGTTGTGGCTTAGGTTAAGTATCAGTATCTTTTAACTATTTTCTCATCTGTTTAATGAGTTGAAATTAAATAAAACTCACGAAACATGAAACATTGTTCAATTACAATAGGTTTTTTTTCAATGGGTCCTGGGCGGTCAGATCAAGTCAGTTCATGCTGACATGCCTTGCCACAGAGACAGGGTTTCATTTTTTTGGAATTCAAATGTAAAATATACAATAATTTCCTTGCTTTGATTAGATTTGTTTGCCTAAACGAATTACGTTTTAATTTCGGTTTTGCTTTTGTGGATTGCGTGCTTGCAGAGTTTACATCTGGGACAACTCGGTTTAGTGTAGCGTTTGTGTGTTGTGTGGTTCTGGTTGTGGCTATTCTGGTGGCTATTCAAAGGACATCGAGTTAATTAAACGTACATACAAAATATTCTCTTAACAAACTAATATCAAAGTTTAGTTATCAACAGTTTAATTCGTGGCCGTCGCATGCAGCATGCGCGTTCCTTGCTCTCTCAACTATAGATATATATGTATATGATCGCTGTACACATATATTATATTTTAACTTCAACGAACGGTGGTGTAGCGTTTTTCTGTCGCTGTCTCTGCGTTTCTGGTCTCTGCTCTCGCTTGTTTAGACGTGTTTGCTTTAGTTCAGTTAGTTCAGTGTTCAGTATAGGTGTATACGGGTGGATAGATGGATTGTTACAAGGATTTTCTGATTCTATGTAGTCTGAGTCTTCTCCGAATTTCTCTTCTACTTATCTGCAATAAATGACTTTGTGTGCACTTTATGTGCGGCTATCACAATTCCATTCTCGTTCAATATCTGACTCTCATTTGTATTTGAAATAGTTTCCACTCAACTCGGTGTTCTCAGAATTCTCCTAGTATATATGTATAGTGTAATAGTCGCGTTGCTTGCAACGCCATAGCTCAGCTGTCAATTAATGTACGATATCCAAATAGTATGAAAGGATAATAAGGCTTTCAGTTCAGAGCTGGAAACGATTTGGGTCTAAATTTAAGGATAGGAAGGGATGCTTGCGACACCTTTCACCTTCAGGATAGAGTAAAAGAGTAAAGTAAAAATACGAAGAACTGTGCCGTGGGGGAGTGAAGAGGTCAAATCTGACTGTGTTCTTGCTCCGGAGCAACTGGTGCTGCCACTGAAGTGGCAGGTGCTATTGTCTCAGGCTTGCCAGCATTCAGTTTTGCCTTTACTTTCAGCAACAATACCTCAAAGGAGTCCTCCTGCGCCTTTGGGGCTGGTGCTTCCTTGGGAAACACATATGAGTGGTAGTTGTTGATGCCAGCATTATCTGCCAAGTGCAAAGGTTAAGTCAGTCAGTGAAAAGTCCTTTTACTATAGTTAGAGACTCGTTTGCGACACTCACCCAAATCGGCATACGAGGCACGACAGAAGGCGCGTCTTCCGCCAAAGCTAATATCATACATGTTAATCTGTGGATCCCTTGGGCTAGTGTCGATCGCCGTGAAAGCGTCCTGCGCTCTTTCGTACGTCACAAAGCCATACTTCATGCTGAAACAAAAAGCATCATTCAATTTTAAATGCACTCCTGTTTGGCAGAGTACTACTCTCTACTTTCCACTCTCCCCTCTCCGCTTACCCGTTCTCCTTGTAGTGGATTGTTATCTGCTTAATGCTGCCATAGGCCAAAAACTTTCGGCGTAGCAGCTCTTTGGTGGTCTCCTGCTCAATACGACCCACATATACAATGCGGCGCTCCTCCACCGCTGGCTGCGATACGTTCCGATCCACAAATCCCCGTCTATTGTTGTTTCTGTTTTCGAAGCGCGCCTCAGATTGTGAGCGGGAGCGGGAACGCCGCAAGGGACGCTGCGGACTTCTACTACGGCTGCGCTCACGATCGCTGATTTCGGATCCCGAACTAGAATAGACGGCCTGCCGGTTTGGCTGCTGGTTTTTTGAGCGTCGCTTGTTGTAGCTGGTGCGACGCTGTCGGCGCTCATATTTGCCCGCCTCCGAGTACGATGAGGAACTAACCGAGCTGCGGTGGCGGTGTGTGCTGCGCGAAGAATAGCCGCCGTTGCCAATACTGCTGCCTCCGCACGTAGCCGTTGCATCTAGGCTGCGCAGCCGCTCTGTTGAGTGGGAGCGGGAACGTGACCGAGACCTAGACCTGTACGACGCCAGGCTGCTGCAATCCGAAGAAGATCCACTCGTGGAACTAGATTCATCCGAGCCTGGCGCTCGACGCTTGTGGTAGTGGCGACGTAATCGCTCGCGCGACTGCCGCGTGCTAGCGGGCAGCACCAGCAGGGGAAATTCGGGTTGCAGATCGGTCTGGGTCGCCATGCTGACAAGAGTCTTGCGCTCGCGATTCTTGGGAAGATGCATGATCACCATATCCTCGCCATGCGGCGTGTTCTTCTCAGCCCCACCCGAGAGTTTTACCAGCTTGCCATCAATGCTATCAGCATTGCTTTTCGGCAGCAACGTGGCCATGGCCGTGCTACTCGTCTGTCTCACCACCTCGCTCTGTATGCTGGCTATAAGCGAGTTGCTTATGTCCTTGTGCGGGTCCTTGCCGTTGGATATGTTGTACAGTAGGACCGACGATTTGAGCAACGAACGGGGCGAGGCCTTGCTCAGCTGGTTCGGAGGTATAGTTATGTCCGTGTTGCAGCTGGCCGACACAATAATCAATGCGTCCAGATCGGGACGTAGTTTTTCCTTGTTGGGCGTCGTTACTGTTGCTGTCGAATCGCAGCTCTCCTCCTCCAATTCCACGCGGTACGTGTCTTTGACAATGTCTTTGAGCGGCGGCAGCTTCGTCACGCGCGGCACCTTTGCCGAGACACGCGAATCGATAATCTTCAGCTGCTGGGCCCGCTTCATCTCCAGCATTCGGAGCACCTTGTTCTTGGCCACAGTAATCGGATCCATGGGCAGTGCTGCCGCTGTGCCTTCTTTAATGGGCGGACACTTGAGACTGTTGACAATCTTGACTATGGCCGCTGTCTTCTGCTGGTGGTTTGATTTTGTTAAAACTGTCATTGGTTTCAGCGAGCTCAATGCGGCCACTGGGGAGGAGCTTTGGTGAGCCAACTTGGGCTGTTTGGGAGGCGTGGGCTTAGCCTTCGGGCTGGCTTTTGGGATGATGGTACTGCCGCCGCCACAGCGACGCTGCTTGTACTCTTCCAGATTGAGTTTTCGCTTGGGCGCCTGTATCGATGGCGTAGCACCTGCTGCTGGTGCCAAAGGCGCGCCAGATGCTGAAGCTTCCCGTTCGTGCTTGAGAAGCGCAAGATTCTTCCCTCCCAAGCCCAACCCAGTGCTGGCGGCTGGCTGTTGCTTGCTGCCGACTGCAGATTTCGTACCCTCTTGAGTTTTCTTCGAGGCTACTTTATTGGACTTAGACGCGGCAGAACCCACTTTTCGTTTGAGGAAGTCGCACTGTTTTTTGTTGAGCACAAGACAAATGTTGTTCGTGGTCTTATGCTTGGTCACGACGGTTGCTCCTCGAGCTGGATTTTCTTGGTTCTCCATCGGCCCCAGTTTTGTCTGTGGCTGAATGTTGGATGGAGAGCAAGAGAGCATTTAAGTAATGTTTTTGCACCATGCACTCGAGCTCTTAACTCCTCCTACTCACCTCTTTACTGATGACCATTGGCTTCTTGGCGGGCAATTTCGGGGACCAGGAGGGGTCCGCCTTCACATTGTCCACATAGCACATATATTCGGCAGCTGCTGCCTCCCCTTTCTCCAGCTGGCCTGTGGACCACACGCTCTCATCCACGTCAACCACGTCAACCGTCTCCACATCGATGATTGAGTCCGAGTCGTCGTCGTCGTCAGATTCGCGCTGCTTCGCGGATGCAACTGTAGGTTTGCGTTCAACAGCAGCGACAACACCAGCACCAGCCGCAGGCGCAGCCACAGCACCAGCTGATGGAGCAGAAGGTGGAACGACTGATGCCAGTTCAGAGTAAGTTTGTGGACCTGTTTCTTGGACTCTGTTCTTGGACTCTGTCGCGCGGTAGGCGCTTATGTTCTCCGCAAAGTCATCTTTGGTGATAAAATCAGCTAGATCAAAGTTATTGACATCAATGTTCAGCCCCAAGGCATCGGCTTCCGAGACTATGGTGTTGGTGCTCAGCGTTCGACTCTTGCGGTCACTGTAGTAGCCATCTAATGCATTGACTTCGTCTTTGAGTAGCCTTGAATCCAGTTTCGGTTGCTCTTTGTTCTCCTCCTCCTCTTGATCATCGTCTTCGTCGTAGTCGCTTGAGTGGGACTCATAGTCGCCAATTGAGGAACTGTCTGTGCGCGTGCGGAACGTAGAGTTGCTGCATTGACTCTGCACATCCTCTTCTATATGACCTCCACCAAGACTTACACAGTCTGGATAATTATATTGGACCACGGAGCTCAAATGACGCTCGTGCTGTTCATAGGCCACCTCCACCTCGCCGTCGGTGAGGGCCTGATAGACCTGGGCATTGAGTACGTTAGCCTCCTGGTCGCTTAGCTGCTGCTCCACGAAATCGCTGTAGATCAGCTATTCAAACAGATGGACACACATTTAGCCTCCTGCCTGAGCAGTTATTTTTCTCAAGTTCTCGGGCCATTGCCATCACCTACCAGGTTCTTACTGCTCTGCAACTCCACTTCGCCGTCGACCTCGTGTCCCAGCAGGGAGTGGGCGTCTGTGGGCGCAATAGGTAGAATTCCGTTCAGAGTGTCCGTCAACTGCAGGCTGAAATAGAGTGGACATAAAATGAGAATGCGAACTGCCAGTTACAATACTCTACTCTGTACTTACTCATCGTTGGGAGACCAGAAGCTCGGCTCTGTCTCATACTTTGCAAAGTTTCCCTCGAAGGGATCCTCGTGAAAAACATTCAACAATCGGGAGTCCATCGTGTGTCAAGTGGTTTGCTGCAGAGAGACTAAGATTCGTTTTTGGTAGAGAATTATAACCATGTACATAGAATTCGTTGCAATCGATTCAGTCTATCATCCTATGCGAACACACATAACCGCCACTGGAAAGCTACTGGGAGCCATCATCTGCAGAGAATAGACAGTGTAATGTTCGTGTAAGTGTAAGCTGCGGGACGGGGTGGGTTAAAAGTCGGAAGAGTCATTGGCAGGGGGAGGGCAGAGGCAGAGGGCGAGTGAAGCAGAAGCAGAGTGTGAATGAGAGAATGTAAAAAGAACAACAAAAGCTACGGACAGGGTGGGTTTAGCCACTGGAAATTAATTTCGGATTTCGGATTAATCGGATCCCAATTTGGTGATCTGATAGATATGGTCATTCCCTACGGAATGGCGTTTTTAGTTTTCTTGTATCTTCAAAATTATAGCTTTGGGATGTTTTCGCCCTTTTCCGGTGGCAGAAGGGGGCCGGCCTCATTTTTTAAATACACTTGTAACAGTGCTTTTATGGTCTCTGAGTACTAGGCGCTCATCAGGACGGACAGACAGACATGGCTCCATCGACGCGGCTATTGATGCTGATCAAGATTATATATACTTTATGGGGTCGAAAACGTTTCCTTCTGTGCGTTATAAACATCCGTTATTCACCACAAATACAATATAAAATATAAATAACAATCGGGTATAAAAATAGATATTACCAAATTCAAATTTTGCGCGCTAGATTCAACAAGTTGGCAACGCCAGCAGTGCAGCGAAGGGAGACCCAAAGAGGAACGACAAAAAGCAGCGTGGCACCTTGACAGCAGGAGAAAGCAACAGTTTTACCCTCTCACATTGCACAAATTTAAATCACGGGCTGCTAACAACAAAAACAAAACACATGAGCACGTACACACACATGCGACAGATGGAAGAAGAAGATAAGCCGCCGCACATGTGTTGGGAGCCAACGAACCACGTGTGGGTGTGTGTGCGCACGCATACGAATGTATGGGTAAATGCCGCCGCCACGCCATGTGCTTTTTAATGCTCCAACACAACAATCAATCCCAAAACTTTTTTCTACACTTCACTATCGCATTTCCCATTTCACTCGCACACCTTCACACACAACAGCCGCATTTTGTTTAAAGAGCTGTTTTTATTCGAATTAAATACTTGACAGACGAAATGCGAAATGAATTCACCGACAATCACATTCTTGTGAATTTGTATGGCCCGCCGGAGCCCCCACTCCGCGGCTGAAGCGACTGTTCATCTTTCAGGTGGTTTCCAGTTACCTTTGGGATATTTCAGCTTGCGCCCGGCACCATTCACTCTTGATATTTAATCCTTATCCTATGTCAACTGTATAAATTGTTGTTTTTTATAGCTTGTCGCCGTCTGTTTGGCTGTCTGCTTTAACCTCACATATTGAGCGCCGCGTCTGCAGCACCAACGCGAGCACAGGTCCCTAAATTCACGTTATTCGTTTTCGATTTTCCAATTTCTAGTTATGTCGCGCTGTCACATTCATTCGAATTTATTTCTCAAAGTATTCGAACACCACTATAATTCATTTCACGGTCGGTTTGTCTGAATCACATTGCTTAAAATATGTTCACGTGGACCTCGCAGCGCGGCAATGTTATTCTGTTGGGCAGTGTTGCCAACTCTTCGGGTCATAAAAAAGTTACACTATCCCTTGAAAAAAGCTAGAAAGAACAGCTAAAAAAACACTAGAGTAGGGAAACGATATTTTTATTGATTAACTTTTGTACTTTTGAGAAATTATCAAGCTCGTCAAACATATAGTGTTCTGCGGCTGTATGTAAGTCTGTAAGTGCTCCCTATATGTTTTAAACATAATGATTACACTTTAGAGACAGACGCAACAAACGGTATTTTGTTCGATTGTGCAAAAGAGGAGGGCGAATACTTATGTTCGGCTATCTTGGCAGGTGAAAATTGCTATGTTTTGACTTATTGCTTAATTGACAATAATTGCATAAGCAGTTCCCATCATCGGCTGCATCTAAAACCACTATTTTATTTTATTTATTTTCAAATGAAAAAACTCTACGAAGTAATATAAATACTCGAAGTTGGCAGACGTTTAAAAAATGTTAAATTACGCTACTATAGCTCCCACTAGCCACAGTAATATAAATACTCGAAGTTGGCAGACGTTTAAAAAATGTTAAATTACGCTACTATAGCTCCCACTAGCCACTATTTTACAATCCATCCCAGCACTTGGCAATTGAAATTCTAGAACTAGAGGGAAGATAGCTCGATTGCCAACACTATTCGCGGGCCCGGGTCAGTGTAACCGCGGACTTTTCTAAAAAATATACCGCATCATCCTCAAAATTTTTTTGACTCGATTTCGATATTCTAATTAATATAACCGGCTAGTAATGACTCTCAGAAATAAACCAATTATTTTATTCGCTTCATCAATCAATTCAATCAATTGTTTGGTTTTCGCAAGTGGATTGTTTTCAGAAAAATATTCAAGCTATAAAGGTCAATAAAAAATCAATTCACAAAACGTTAGTGGGAGTCAAAATGGTTGAAACCTGCGTATTAGAGTAGTCTATCATTAATATATCTTACAACTTTTATTAAATAGAATGATGAGAGATACCGTATATACAGATAATATACCTTAAATGTACGTGAGCCCAATTTCTACGTTAAAAATATCCCTAAATAACAGCGCTGGTAGGTGAGCTCTGTTATCATTAAAACGAAAACTGACACTGAGTGTGACGAATACGCATTACCCTCAAAACATTTTGTAGGATCTGATTGTTCGTCATGAATCGGATCGATTGAATGATTAAAATATAACGACTTGTTTGGGTTAGAACATATCTATTTTATTTTCACTTTTCTTTAATAATGCGGACAGATTGCCCGTCGGCGGCTAGCTGGTGGAATCATTTATACATTGAGCTGAATAACGCCTTCTGCTTCTTCCGGCAACGTACAAGTAGTTTACAATCAAAAGAACATGTTCGTGTTAGTATGTTTTGTATAGACGAAAATGCGGGGATAACTACATATATATGTCGAGTCAACTCGCGGATAATTTAACGGCGCTTCACACTAGTCCATTCGCCATCTTCAACGGCCTTGCTTTCTGTAGGAATTGTGTTATTATTAACTATTCATCGATAGAAGAGTGAAGGTAAACTTACCCTTTTCCTGGGGCTGATCGCGTTTGGGAGCAGGCTCATCCCGTGGGCCGGGTGCAGTGCGCCAATTGCCGGCACCACCTCCTCCGCCGCCACCAGCAGCAGCGGCACCAGAACCACCACCACCGCTGGGTCCGCCTTCCTTGGGTCCGCGGGATTCCGGGCCGCGTAAATCGCCACGCACCTCGCGGTCGCGTCTTTCGCCAGCAGGGCGACGATTTTCACGATCACTCTGTCGTGGAGCGTCGCGCCAGTTGCCACCGGTCTCGCGCGGTGCAGCGTCATCATTGCGGCGTGGCGGATCGTTACGACGGAAGCCACCACGGTCGCGATCATCTCTGTCATCTCTTTCGCGTCGTGGTCCATCGTTGCGGAAGTCACGATCGCGTTCACGGTCGCGGTCTCCGCCTCGACGCCACTTATCGTCCCGTGATGGTGGGGCAGCACTGCCGCTGTTGGCATCCTTGACAGCAGCACCACGCTGGAAGTCTGGCTCACGTCGTACACGCCACGAAGACTCCGCACCCTCGTTGTCCTTGCGTTCACGGTCTGCACCACGATCACGGTCTGCACCACGATCACGGTCTGCACCACGATCACGGTCTGCACCACGATCGCGGTCTGCACCACGATCACGGTCTGCACCACGATCGCCGCCGCGTTCCATGCGGTCTCCTCCACGTTCCATGCGGTCTCCGCCTCGCTCCATGCGATCTCCACCACGTTCCATCCGATCCCCGCCTCGCTCCATACGCTCTCCCCCTCGCTCGTTGCGGTCACCTGTTGGTGCTGCAGCACGACGCCACTCTCCGGCACCTCCACCACCAGTAGCTGGGGCTGCGGCGGGCCTGTCGCCGCCACGTGGACGCCAGGTGTCACGCTCTTTGTCACTTCGCTCGCGCTCAACGGCAACCTCGCGAGCCAAGCGGTCGCGATCTTCCTTGATTTTACGCTCGGCCTCTTCCTCCTTGGCTCGCTGTTTCTCGTACTGGGCGCGACGCTTCTCGTCCTCGGCCTCGCGCTCGAGACGACGGGCCTCGGCAGCGGCACGCTCTTCCGCGGCCTGAGCCAGGCGGATCTCCTCTTCCTTTCGAAGGCGTTCCTCTTCCTTTTCGCGGAGGAAGGCCTGACGCCGCTCCTCCCGCCGACGGATGATGCGATCGGCCAAGCGCTTCTTGCGCTCCGCCTCCAGGGCAATCTCGAACTTCTTAAGCTTCTCCACGTACAGGGAGGCGCGCTCCTTCTTTAGAGCCTCAAGGAACTCATCACGGTCGGGATACATGCGCTTGAGGCGCTCTTGCTGGCTGACAGCATCCTTGCGCTCAGCAATGGCATTTTCGATGCGTGTCTTCTCTGTGGCTTCCCAGAACTCCTTGTCCTTTACTTGCTTCTCAGCCAAATATTTCTCAAAGAGCGGGATCTCCTCCAGGCGCTTGGCGCGCTCATAGTAGTCGATCTTCTTCTCCTGCGACTTGAGTTTCGACTGCAGCTCCTTGGCCTCGCGCTGCAACTCCTCGCTCTCGCGCTTCGCGATCTGCTCGGCGTCAAGTTTCTTGATGCCTTCATCATCTAGCTTGGCGAGCATTTTCTTGCCGTGGGCGGTCTGCGATATTTGCTGGACCTTCTCCTTGAGACTCTTCTCTTTAATGGCCTGAATCTCGTTCTGGTGGCGCTTGCGCTCACGCTCTTCATTCTCCAGTTCCAGGCGTTTCTGCTCTGCCAGCTTGGCCTTGCGGGACTCCTCTTCCTGGCGGCGCGCTTCCTCCTCCTCCCGTGCGTTGTTTTGCTTCTCGATGTACTCCTTGCGGTCCTCGATGATCTTCTGCCTCTGCAGAATGCGTTGGTGCTCGCGATCCTTGATCTCGTGGTAGTGGTGCACCATCTGGGTGCGAAGCTTAGCCCGCTGGTCGCGCTCGCGATTCGGATAGACAACGGACACGGCTCGGGTCAGCACTGTGGACATGTTCACCAGCTGGGAGCGAATCTGCTCTGATGGCATCGACTGCAGGGCCGGTCCATCGGGACGGTACTCGCGCTGGCTCTCGGTGAGGTCGGTTCCAAAATAGATGCTGTTCTTCTGATGATCGATGCGTATCTGCATGTCGTTGTGCCGCACCGACTCGACCAGCAGCTTCTCCAGCTCGAAGATGTTGCAGAAGGTGGCCAGCTCCAGCAGGCGCTTGAACTCGATACTCTCGTACACCTGCGAGATCTGTCGGATCAGGCGCATGATGGTCACGTCCTTCAGCGACTGAATGTACGGGCTGAGCAGATGCGTCTCCGTGGGGCCCGTCTCGATGATGTCCACAATGGACTGGATCCTCTTGCAGAGATTTAGAGGATTAAAGTCCACCTCCAACCAGTTGTACAAGTTGCGGAAATCTTCGGAGACGAGTTGCGGCACATTCAAGCGCACCTAGAGAATGGGATTAATGCCCGGTTAAAACTTAATTTACTTCAATGGAGCGGGGCGTCTGCTCCAGTGATGGTTACTCACCACCTCGCGGATGAGGGAGACCCGAGTGGGCGGCTGGGGCAGGCCAAGAAGGACTGCCAGCTTTTGGGCCTTCTCAAGAGGGCTCTTGTCTGCCTCAATAAACCGGTCGAATTCCGGATGGGCCGACGGCAGAGGGATCGAAAGAGTTGCCAGGAGAACGTGTGCTGCCATGCGCTGCAAGTCGTCCTTGGTCAGGTTCTTCTTCAATTCGCGCGTAAGCTGGAAGAGCTTTAGCAGAGCGGCGGCATGGAAGAGTTGATTGCCTGCCTTGCTGAAGACCATCGCAAGTTTCTGGTAATAGTTGGCCATCGTCTTGGGCACGGGTGTCTTCTTGGAGAGGGCCATCAGGCCGTGGATGTCCTCGATGGCCTTGTAGGCCTCCTGCCACAGCTCCATCTGGATGGCAGAGTCGAGCAGATACAGCCTGGTGTCCAGGCACAGCTGCTGCGTTTCCACCTTGTTGATCGAGACGCCAGTGGTCTGGTTACTGCTCTTGCAGATGTCCTCAAGATGCTTGCGCAGCTTGTCGCACAGGCGACGGAATTCGCTCTTGCGATTGTATTTCAGGCAGAACTGAAAGGCCATGCGAGCTATGTCATGGTACAGAGCCTCGCAGTGGGTGTTGACACGCAGCAGCTCCAGGCACTGACAATACGACTCCCAGAGGAACTTCACCCAGGGCAAGAGAATGGTGCGGTCGGATCGGTCTTGGGCATCTTCCCCGCACACTGCGCTCATCAGGATGCTCTCGGGAGTGGCGATGTTGTCCAAGTCGTCCAGCTCCAGCACAGCCACAGCCGCGGAGGACTGCGCCTGGGCCGCCTCGGTGTGCTCCTCGGCCATTTTCAGGTAGCCGCGGATGACATTCTCCAGCGAGTTCACGTTGACCAACTGGAACATGTTGCGGTACTGGAAGAGACCCTCCTTAGCAATGTGCGACTTCTTGAGCTCCACGCACAAGTA